GGACGAGGCGGACGGTGGCGGTTTGACAACAGGATGAAGGTTTCATCGTAGTCAATACCGGGGCGTTGAGTGAAGCCACGAAGAACCCAACGAGCTTTGTATCTCTCCAGCGAACCATCAGCGTGGAATTTATGTTTGAAAACCCATTTTCCGGTGACCACGTTGGCATTGGCGGGCCGAGGGACAAGCTCCCAAGTGTTATTGTCCATGAAGGCGTCATATTCTTCTTCCATGGCGCGACCTTGATGAGGATCAGCGAGGGCATCGCGGCATGATGACCGGGAATGGGAGATGCAGACCCTCAAAGATGAAGAATACGAGGTGAATGTATCCGATCTTCCCACGAGTCATCATACCATGGTTGTTGTCAACCGGTGTGACGGTACAAAGACCAACCGGAGGACCATCTTTAACATACCGTGGGGGAAGGTATGATGTTGGAGCGGCGAGGAGGAGCAAGTGCCGGTGATGATGGTGATGGTGGAGGTGCCGAGTGTACACTTGGGTGACAAAGTGGCCGAAAAATCTTTGCCATAGGATCTGCAGAGGATGGATGGCGCTGAGTACACGTGGGTGACCCGGCGGTCTCGGTAGAGCTTCAGACCATGGGCGTCTGAGGAGCAAAGAAAGTCTGGGCAAAGAGGGCGCGGCTGCAGCAGAGCAGCAACGGCTGCAACTGCTGAGCAAGCGGCGCCGGGGTGCAAAGTCTCGGGCTGCTGACTGAGGCAAGACACAGGCGAGGCGAATTCTTGGCGGTGTGTGGAAGCCTGGGGAGGGCGCGGGGTCTTGGCTTTGGCGAGCGGGGGCCAGGCGGAGCAGAGCATCCTCAGATACCTCAGTGCGACTGCAGAGGGAACTGAGCGGGGGCACCGGAAGTTGTACCTGCAGAGACGAAGAAGGAGCTAGCAGCTCATTGTTAGTTAGAAAGTCAAGCTCGTGAGGAGTGGAGGTCCGGTGTCGAGAGAAGGGAAAGGTCGTCTCATCAAAGATGACATGACGAGAGATGATGACACAGTTAGTGTTGAGATCGAGGCACCGATATCCTTTGTGATCGTGGAGAGTAGCCAATGAAGGCATACGGGGAAGAGCGAGGGCAAGTTTATGAGGGGTGGTTGCGGTGAGGTTGGGGTAGCAAGTGCAACCGAAAATCTGAAGATCATGATAGGCGGGTTGGGTGCCGTGGAGAGCAAAGTAGGGTGTGCTCATGTCTAGAGTCTTAGTGGGAAGGCGATTCAGGAGGTGGGGTGGCTGTAGCAAGGGCATCAGCCCAATAAGAAGGGGGCATGAAGGCTTGAAATAGTAGAGTGCGGGTGACATTGTTGGTGGTGCGAATCATGCGCTCGGCTTTGCCATTCTGCTGTGAGGTGTAGGGGCAGGACATGCGAAGCACAACACCTTTAGCGAGAAAGAAGGCACGGGCAGTAGAGTTGTCAAACTCACGCCCATTGTCACATTGCACGGATTTGATGGTGCAACCAAACCTGAAGTATGCACATAGGCGAAAAAATTAGAGAGCACCTTTGAAAAAAGTATCGGACTTGAGGCGCAGTGGAAAGGTCCAAAGAAAATGGGAGCGATCATCGAGGATAACTAAGTAATATTTGAAACCGGATACACGGTAATAGGTGATGTCCTGAGATCACAATGCACCAAATCAAAATTCTTAGTTGCTCTAGAGGAAGAACTATGAAATGGTAAAGCGAACATGGCGTCCAAGCTGACACGCATGACTGAGGGAATCATCAGCAGGCTTGCTGCAGACTATGGAAGAAGACTGAGCAAGACTCTGAAGGGTAGCTGCGCCGGGATGACCGAGACGACGATGCCAGGTAGTCGGGGAGGGAGTTGCCACCAAGGCGCAGGGACTGGATGGAGATGCAGGAAGCTGCAAGGTGTAGAGGGGTCCCGAGCTGTTACACCGAAGGAGGGTGTTTTTGGAATGGAGATCCTTCACAGAAACACCAAGAGGGTCAAATTCAACTGAAACGGAATTGTCAGTGGTGAATTTGCGAACAGAAATAAGATTTTTAATAATATCAGGAGCTAGAAGGACATTGTTGAGGCAAAACGGGCCGGGAAGAGTGGAAAAACCAGTGCCAACCACTGGAAGAATGGCACCGTTGCCAACAACAATAGAAGATGGAAAAGAGGAAGATGGCGAAGCTGTGATCATACCAGGGTTGGAGGCAATATGGGAGGAAGCACCAGAGTCAATCACCCATTCCGAGGAGCTTGGTGGTGGTGACAGGGTGACGGTGCTGAAGGCGTTGGCGAGATTCTCAGCAGTCCATGGCGACCAAGTGGAGGTGGGAGCCTGTTGAGGGGCCTGGTAGTATGCCCCGCGGGATGGCGATGGAGTGAAGTATCCCGGGGGCATACCAGCAACCAGAGCTTGCTGTGGTGATGGGGACTGGACGACGCGAGGCGGTGGAGCACGAGGACTGCCAGGAGTGGACCCGGGCCACATATGAATGGACCCTATCCAGGGGTTGAGGACTGAGGGCCACTGCTGGCCACCTTGAGACTGCTGGTGCTGGTTGCTTGAAGAGCCACCTGCGTGAGCCGCTTTAGCCACGTCCATGCCATGGCGCGTCATCATGTTATTGTTGTTGCTACTGGTGTTGCCCCGCAATGGCGATGAGCGCTTGAGGAGGAGCAGAGGGCGGAGGAGGAGGAGCCGCTTTGCTGGAGGATGAGGCGACGAGGGCCGAAGGCGGTGCTGAAAGTGGCGCCATGTTGAGCTCGGCCAGGCGGAGATCAGCACGGACATCAGTGAAAGAGGGAAAAGGCTTCTGTCGAGTGACGAGCTGCGACATGAACTGGAAGCGTTCATTGAGTCCGCGCAGAACGTTTAGCACCAGCGTACGGTCCAGAATGGGCTCGCCAAGGTCGGCAAGGGCATCCGCCATATTCTTCATCTTGCGACAGTATTCGTCGATGGAGAGGGCGCCCTGGCAGAGGGTGCGAAACTCGGCGTCGAGCAGCATGGCGCGTGACTCGCGGTTGTTGTAGAACTGCTGTTCGAGGCCGAGCCACGCCGCCCGAGCAGGGATACCGTCGCGCTCGTGGACGACGTCGAGGAGGTCGGGGGAGATGGTGTTGAAGATCCACGAGACGACGACGCAGTCCATGCGAGACCACGCAGCATCGTGGGCATGAACGACATCGCTGAGGACATGGTCTTCAGGGCGAAGCGACCGAGGGCGAGCAGGATGTAGCCACGCCACTTGGAGTAGTTGGAGGACTGCAGGTCGAGGACGATGGGAATCAAATTCTTGATGTTCTGCACAGCAGCAGCCTAGCTATGGAGGCGAGCAATGGCCACGGCTTCAGAGGGTGATGTAACGCAGTCGTCGTCATCGCCAAGCGTCGCGAGCGATTCAGTATGGAGCCGTTCGCGGAGGGCGGAGGCTCGCCGCTCGAGCGTCGGCTTTGCTCGCGCAAGGCCCGCATCGAGGGCGGCGGCGGCGGCGCGGACGCGTTCCTGAGCATCGGCGGCGGACTTGAGGAAGGCCGCCTCCTCCTCGAGCTGCTGGGACCGCTCGGCGTTAGAGTCCCGCAGGGAGGCGGCCTCGTCTTCCAGCTTCTTGACGGCGGCGAGGGCTTCGTCGCGAAGCTTTGCCGCGGCGGCGGCCGCCGGGGCGCTGGAGCTCGAACCGCCGGATGGAGGAGCAGCCATGGAGAGGAGAGGGGACGGGGCGCGCGCAGCGGCCGACGAGGGGCGCGCGACGGCCGTCCGTCGAGGGGGCACGCTGGGCAATGGGCTGGAGCGCGAGTGTGCGCTGTACGACGCGAGGCGGCGCGGTGCAGCAGTGGAAAAGCGGAAGCAGGGAAAGGGTACAGGACCAGATTAGTCTTCTGATACCATGATAGACAGTAAAGCCAATAGGCTTAGCATCCTTAATTATGTTTACACAGGGGATTACAATATATAGAGGCCCAAGGGGCCTGTTCACATAGCCACATAGGGTGGCGTACAGCTGACTTAAATAGCAGTAAAAGACTAGCACAAAGACCAAAGGGATTAGTAGCACAGTAATCTAACACGAACAAAAACTCTGTCTGCAGATGAAGGCCGATCAGATGAAATTACGGGCTCAAGAGAAGCTGTCCAACCGGCTGGCCACGACGCATCGGGTGGCCGAGGAGAAGCGGGCGACCGCTGAGGCGAAGCTCAATGAGCGTGCGGCGAGGACATCAGAGAAGGCCAACTACATCAGGAGGACAGGGCACCTGCCGTCCTCCTTCAAGTTTTCTTGCCTGTGCGGCTCAAGCTTTGAGTAAAGCTAGCTAGCATCAGTTGTGACACTCAGCCTCTCGGTAGCCTCGTCATTTGTTCCTCTCACTGTTAAGAACATCGAGCTGACGGCTGGTCATAGCCCAACGTCTAATTCAGTCCATGGCCATACATTTTCAAGAAAGAAAAAAAAAAATCCGTTGCCATGGTGGTCCGAGCAATTGTGCAACAGTTTTAATTGACCTGATCAGAATTGTTGCTAGAAGCATTCCATTATTAGCAATCTGTGGGCTATGTTTAATTATATTGGATAATGTTCTGTGCATGCTAAAACATAACCAAAATAATATTATGAGGAAACACCACCTCTCTTCCAAGTTGAAATGTTGAATCCGAGCCTGCATTGGTTTGCAGGGCTACAAGCCACGCAGGTGCGTTGAGCTGCTCTTAGGGCCTCTCCAGTGGGCGGCATATCTAAAGCCACTAAGCCAGTTCTATGCAAAAAGTGCTACTGGGTCCCAAACAAACATGTTCGGCCCGTCAAAATTCCTTGAGAACACAATGCGAGGCACTGAAATCTATCACAAAGTTCTATTCAAAATCTCAAAAAAGAACCACTAATGTTTTACCAAAGTTCAGTAGCAGCACCTGAGGAGTATAAGCTGTCCTGCCAGTTCAACAATTTCATTTCATTGAAATTCAAATTCTATGTCAAGAGCAAGTTAGATATAGCACCAAATTTAAATTTTCTTTTCTCAAGAAATCACACAGAAGGACTGATAAAAGGGTAATCAGTGTACCCAACAACGGGGTCAGGAGAGTAGAACGTGGATCTGTCGTACTTGTTCAAAGGTGCATTCAGCTCAAATCGCTTTGGCAAGTCTGGGTTCGCCAGAAACCATTTGCCGTATGCCACCAGGTCAGTGTAACCTTCAGACACAGCTCTGTTGCCTTCTTCCCTGTTGTATCCTCCACCAACAATGAAAGTGCCAGAAAACGCTTTCCTGAAATGCAGCAGCTTGTAGGGGATCTGCACCTTACCATCCACTTTGACCGCCTCCGGCTCAACCATGCTGCAGTAGAGGACGCCGAGCTTGTTCATGGCGTGGATCATGTACAGGCCAAGTGCGTCTGGGTCTGAGTCCCAGCAATCCAGGTAGTTCGAATATGGTGAGAGACGGACACCAACCCTGTCTGCTCCGACCTCATCGATGGCAGCTTGGATTACCTCTAGCGCAAAGCAGCATCGGTTTTCCATGCTTCCACCGTACTTGTCAGTTCTGTCGTTGACACTGTCTTTCATGAACTGCTCGATGAGATAGCCAAATGCACAGTGGATTTCGACTCCGTCAAAGCCTAGGATCCATTGATGTAACCAAATCAGTAACGAATGGGCTGAATGATTTACTTGATTTGATCAAAACGGTAAATGTTGGGTAGCTGAATGCACAGTGGATTTGAACTCTGATAGATCCTCACAATCGGAAAGCCGTGGGGTTAACTATGCAGATGAAAGGTAAAGGAAAAGGTGGAAGTACCTGCTTCAATGCAGTTCCTAGCAGCAAGCCTAAAATCATTGACAATCTTGGTGGATTTCATCTTCTCTAAGCCTCCTTGGGGCTGAGAATTCCTCCACAGTCCCATCATCGAGAACCTCAGGGGTGATCTGCTTGTCCGTACAAGAAATTGGTGCTTGTCCATTGGGTTGATAATCTGCAATGTATATTGTAAAATAGTTGTCAGGGGAACCTCACAACTACATGAAATGCATCATTCAAGCAGGTAGCAGTATGTGTGAATAATACGCACAAGCACAAGATAAGCTTGAGACAAGAACATCGCAAATGTGTAGTGTTCATTCAATAATTTATGTGGCTTCAGAAAGAAGCTCAAGTTCTTACAGTTCAATAAGACATGCTACTCTTACTCAAAAACCATCTACTGCATTGGGACTTTGACTCAGTAGTCATCAAAAATTACTTTTGAGACGCCTAACGAAATGAATCAGCATAATCCATATCAAGTATCCTAGATACAAAGTACTATAATATGATGACGTGCTCTGTATAAATTCACAGTGAGTGCAATAATTTCTGTGGGTCCATTACAAGCTTAAGTTGTTACAGTTCAACAAGACACGGTACTCATACTAAAAGCATTGCTTCTGAACTCTGTAGCCACGATAGTCAGATGGTTGAATCAACATGATCTAGCAGCCTATCTTACAACTGCTCTGTAAACAACTATACAAGTTTTGGCCTAGATATGATATGACTACCATTCTGCCCTATTATAGAAACATATAAAAGATTAAATTTCTTAGAGAACAACTACTCCTATAGTCCTATATGGCATATGCATAATTCATTAGCAAACACATATTAACTTGCAAGGTCATAGTAAATATCCAATACTCTTATTTGCATAATTCATTAGTAAACACAAATTAATTTACAAGGTCACCATAAATATCCAGAACTTGAGAAGTGGCAGTACCATAAGTAGAAGCCCTCCCTACGTGCCAAATCTGGCAGAAGAAAACTCCACCCTTCTGATGCACACCTTCGACGACTGGCTTCCAGGCTTCCACCTGGTCCTTGGTCCATATACCTGGAGTGCTGGGGTACCCCTGGGCAGTCTCGGAGACCCCAGTGGACTCACTGATCAGGAGGCCGCCTTCCGAGGCCCTCTGGGAGTAGTAGAGGGCGACGTGCTCGCCCGGAAGGTTGTTGTAGCACCTTGACCTTGTGAGTGGTGCATGGACAACCCTGGCATGAACAGGAGGAACAGCAGATGTCTCATCAGGCCGATTGTATACGCAGAATCTAATACCCCGACGTCAGGAGCTCCCTAAGCAACAGTTGTGCAGACTTTGGGGGCAATTCATCGAGCACCTTGCGGGTGCTCGCCCTAGACGCTGGGACAAGAAATGCCTGGTACGAATTCTCGTCTCGAGAACCAAGTGCTCAGCCTAGATGATCCATGGGAGCAATGAACTCTTTTGCAAGCAATGGTATGGACAGCCAGTGAAGGAATGAGGTGAAGCAATCGGATGAATCGCATGAACTCTTGCTACAAAACCGAACCCAGGTGATACATGGATGGGCGGTGGACAAACCGACCTGTGGGAGAGGTGGAACCTCCCCATGGTGTATGGCGTGAGGAGCGGGATTGCTTTTGCTTCCATGGACGATCGAGGTACGCCTGCCTTGTTCCTTAGCTCTGTTGTAGCCTTGTAGGTGATGGTGTTGATGCCTGATTATTGTGCGTCAGGCGGTCAGGGGAGCAGACTAGGGACGGTAAAGCCAGCTGCGATGTAAGGTAAGTTTCCAGGAAATTGGCACGTTAGCAATGAACTAAAAGCTATGCAAGCTTTTACTCCTATAATTAATGGATTAACACTGGGCACTGGACGTTGTTGCAGTGTTAACTAGTCAAACATCCGTTTTGCTCAGGCTTAACCAGCAGCTATCGGTGCCCAAAGCAGGACGTGCTGGGACGAGCAGCAACAGGCAATCATTCTCAAGCTCATGAGGTTTTGCTACTTTGTGCAGTAGAGTAACAGCTAACCAGAACGTAGTAATTCAAATCTTCGTTGCAGAAAACACAGATTACACTGAGGAGTTCAGAACAATCAAATTAAGCTTTTAGCCTCTTATAGAAAAGTTCCAATTAAACATAGGGGAAACCAAATTAAGTTATCTATTTTCAAATCAAAAACAAGAATTGACTTCTTAGTTCTCAAAACTGAACATTAATCATACCCGATTTTCCCAATCATAATTAAAACGAAGGAAATAATTGAATATATATTTCAAGCCCGCAATACATTGCTACTTTGCTATTTTTCTTTTAAAAGCATGCCATAGTCATTCCAACTGTTGCTGACTTGCTGCTATGACCAACTTGTAGGAATCTACGATCAATTCATACTAGAGTATGACTGATAGCCTAAAAAATTTGCTAGCATGAATCCCTTCAACTTATGATGAAACCACATTGACTGATAGCCTCCTTGTTTGTTTCATGTGATTCAAGAAGGGGGAAAAAAAAGAATCCTACTGAATTGATCAAAAAAAAAAAAGAAGGGGAAAAAAGAAACTCTTCCACATATACTGCAAAATTTTTGACTTAGCAGTTATGAGATGATAAAAAGAAACAAATAGAATGTTTCAGCACATTCAGAACCACGTCAAACTTCTTGCGTCTAGTACTCAGGAGGATTAAGCAAAAGAAACCCGCTTGACAAAGATATATAGCCACACATAAGCTAACCTGCATCATGAACAAGAATAATGGGGCATCTGTAAGGGTTGCAAAAATCCCCCAACCCAGTTATAGATGCCTGAAGCCCTGAACAAATTGTTTGCCAAGGAAAGAGATCTTCATGCTAATCCAATCGATGGCCTGATACTGCAGTAGCTAGTAAGATCCTAGCAGCAGGTTGTGGATGGGCAAACATTTTATTTCTACCTCAAAATTTAACTCTTCAAATCTGCAGCCAGATAATAGCAAGGATCAACATCACCTTAGACGCAATACTCTGAACCCCAGCCAACTCATGAATGGAAAATACTCTGGTGGAAAGGCAACAATCTGGTCTATATTAGAGAGATAAATGATCTTAGGTGTTAACTTTTTGGAGGGCTGGGTTCTGGGTTTCAAGCAATTGCTCATGACATGGTCTTTTGCAAGAGCAAGGATTTCGCTACGATTGATACTAGCGATATCAAAATATGTATCAAAGAATGAGGCCATCATAACACAAGGTAATCCCATATATCAACTAATTGATTCAGACTCTGAAAGCATCAGAATTATGCATGATGTTTATTAGCTGTTAGCATGACTATGACTTCGGCATGGGAACAGCACCAGTTACATACTACAGTAAGAGGTTCACAAGATCGATGGACATGAAAAACAGGGTGTAAATACAAAAATAACCATCCAGGATGCAACAAATCGAAACTTCATCACTGACCACCTTAACAACCTCACATGCTTTCATGTGATGACTCGTTTACCCAGTTACACTGGTCAAAGTGATCTGTTAATCTACATCTACTCTTCTTGTGTGAGTAAAACAAAAAATTTAAAGGGCTTTGCTGTCAAAACAATGAAATTGTGGTCACTATTACTGGACAAAGCCTTTAAGTCCCAAATAAATTGGGGTAGGCTAGAGTTGAAACCCAGCCGAAGCAATCAAGGTTCAGGCACGTGAATAGTTATTTTCCAAGCATTCCTATCTAAGGCTAAGTCTTTGGATATATTCCATCATTTCAAGTCTCCTTTTATTGCCTCTACCCAAGTCAACTTCGGTCTTCCTCTGCCTCTCTTCACGTTACTATCCTGGCTTAAGATTCCACTACGCACCGGTGCCTCTGGAGGTCTCCGTTGGACGTGTCCAAACCATCTCAACCGGTGTTGGACAAACTTTTCTTCAATTGGTGCTACCCCTAATATATCACGTATATCATTGTTCCGAACTCGACCCCTTCTTGTATGACCGCAAATCCAACGCAACATATGCATTTCCACGACACTTATCTGCTGAACATGTCGTCTTTTCGTAGGCCAACATTCTGCACCATACAACATAGCAGGTCTAATCGCCGTCCTATAAAACTTGCCTTTTAGCTTCTGTGGTACCCTTTTGTCACATAGGATACCAGATGCTTGGCGCCACTTCATCCACCCTACTTTGATTCTATGGCTAACATCTTCATCAATATCCCCGTCTCTCTGTAGCATTGATCCTAAATATCGAAAGGTATCCTTCCTAGGCACTACTTGACCTTCCAAACTAATATCTTCCTCCTCTCGAGTAGTAGTGCCGAAGTCACATCTCATATACTCAGTTTTAGTTCTACTGAGTCTAAAACCTTTGGACTCCAAAGTCTCCCGCCATAACTCCAGTTTCTGATTCACTCCTGTCCGGCTTTCATCAACTAGCACTACATCGTCCGCGAAAAGCATACTCCAAGGGATGTCCCCTTGTATGTCCCTTGTGACCTCATTCATCACTAAGGCAAACAGATAAGGGCTCAAAGCTGACCCTTGATGTAGTCATATCCTAATCGGGAAGTCATCCGTGTTTCCATCACTTGTTCGAACACTAGTCACAACATTGTTGTACATGTCCTTAATGAGCCCGGCGTACTTTGTTGGGACTTTATGTTTGTCCAAAGCCCACCACATAACATTCCTTGGTATTTTATCATAAGCCTTCTCCAAGTCAATAAAAACCATGTGTAGGTCCTTCTTCTTCTCTCTATACCGCTCCATAACTTGTCTTATTAAGAAAATGGCTTCCATGGCAATCGGTGAGATAAATGTGGTGATCAAGAAGAAGAAGAAGAAGAACGTTGAAGATTAAAGCTTACCGAAGGATTGGTGTTTTAAGGCAAGTATAGCATGGGACCATCCTTGTTGCCTATTCACTGTTAATCACTTAACTCATACTGCATGTGTCTACCTTGACTACCACTAAGGATTTCCTAGTACTTTGTTACCTTGCATGAAACCAAATTGGTTCATAGAGACCCGCGTTCTGAACTAATTTGGTTTCATGTCCGGAAGGTCAACCATGGAAGCCATTTTCTTAATAAGACAAGTGGTGCTGAATAGCCTCCACAGTTTTATTCAGATTTCAATGACCTGAAAAAGATAATACCTTATATTCATGATTCCATAGGAACAATTCTCTCACAGGATAAATTCGTATCGAAAAGAGGATGATTCCTACAATAACTAAAACACATCTGAGTGTGGTACATAACATCTAACAACTAACACTAGAAGCAGGTCTATAGAATAATTTATTTGGATTTACATGCCCACATTACATCAACATAGAATAAATGGCACAAATAAAAGGAACTCACCAATAAACTGCTTATAGTAGGCAATAAGAGCGAGTTGTCCATATCTGGCACAAAGCACTGTTGCACAAGCATGCATGAACAAATTGGAAGCATATTCCGTAACAAGGAAGAAACTTTGAACCTGTTGAAGTTTAGCTGCTACTCGGAAAAGTGTATAATATTTTTTAGAAACATGCAGTTCAAAAACACTCGTCAAATCCTTCACAAAATTGAGGGCAGGCCATCACAGATTAAGAGCCTCTAGGGCCTTGTCCTCCGTTCCAAGTTCTTATTCCTCGCTTTTCTCTGCAATTTCCGTTTTGTAAGCCTGCAACTGTTCTTTAAATTTCTTGCTCTCTTCAAAGTTTGCCTTTCTCTTCAAAGCTTTCTGGTTTTAAGTACAGTAATGTGACATTTAGAAGAAGGCGGTTTATTTAAAAAAGAATACCTTGTTGTGGTTTAGAGGATTACATAATAGAAACAAGGGATGATAAGCACTCACCTCCTGTCGGAAGCAGCGGTCTAGCTTGATTTTCAGGTCTGTGCACTCTCCAAAGAACTTCTTAACAGGGTGATCCAGATGGCACTTTTGGAATTCTTCAATAATCTGGACAAAGTTTTACTAAAGTAATGCAACAGAATATAGATGAAAAAATATTCAAAGCAAGGATAAAATCAAAAGAAAAACAGTAAATTACCTCGGCACACATAGGATGCCTATGTAAAGTCAGAGGGGGATGCATTTCTAAAGAGAGATATGGGAACCTCAAACTGCACAATTGCAGACCATTTTAGAACCAGAGGCACAACTGTCCCAATGTTATACTGTTATACTGCACATACTGAGATACAATTGGAGTATTAAAGCCAAAAAAAAAACCCACATAATTTTTATACACTCATTGATACATCACTATTGCACAACCATGGACTCCTATCATGTAAAAGGTCCCATGGTCATGATGAACCCAGGAAGAATCATAAAGGTGGTGAGTTCTCTATTCCTTTTTTGGTCCCAGGTAGAGTTAATTGATGCCTATGGCTTTCTAGTTCACTTATCATCTACAAGAGCAAAACAGATCGCTCTGAATAATCAGATAACCAGCTAAGATTAATCAACCAGGCTGCAAACAATTCCTTCCTCTACTGAAGGCAGGGGCCGACTTGATTTAGGGCATTGGACCCCCAAATTGTTCTAGACCATAAACCACACGTGCACCTTAATTGAGTACCAAGAGCACTACAGTGCCAATTAAAGGTCGATCTTGAGCGCTGGAGAAAAAGAATAACGTCCTAATCAAATCACAGATGGATGGATTCAGATTGGACAGTAGGGCATTTCGCAGCACACAAAAATCAGTGACAAGCTGAGCAGGGAAAGAGAAATATTCGGACTTGATCGAGAACAAAAAACAAGTGTTGTCTTAGAACAAGGGAATCATCCAAGCATGGTATGGGACGGATTGCTCACCAACGAAAGAAGAAATAACTCGACGCCTGGACTGGTGGATCTCCGCTTCAGCACGCGTAGGAGGGAGGAGCGGCGCTGTGGCGGCGGAAGTCTGGCAGAGGGCGGTAGGGCGGAGGCGGACTGAGCAGCGGCGGCGCGACGCGTTAGGATCCTGCGTGGAGAGGAATTGCCCACGAAACACATCTTGAAATGAGAAAATTGACTATTTGATAAATTTGAAGGGGTGGCAATATTTACTACTTTGATTTGAAGATTGAATTTCGAAAAATTAGCACAAATTTAATATAGTTCTTTGATTATACTGCCATGTTCGGATGTTCGCTTTTCATTCATTTTCTTTATATTATTATATATATGTCTTTCTAATTAACAGACCTTGAAAATTACTACATTGCCCCTAGTAGCTATGTACCTGGTTGTGGCGTTGTGCCTTGTGCGGTTGACGTGGCCGCGGCTGGCTCGTGCTGTCGTGCACGCCCGTGGTCTCTGGCTGGCTTGGCTTGCCGCCGGCCGATAGCCGGCCTTTTCTCTAGCAAAAAATGGCAAGAGAAAAAGTAAAAGAGGAAAATTGACAAGAAAAATAAATGTGTTTAACATAGGTGCCGATTTTACGGATTGCATCTTGAGAGTGGCAAATCTAAGAAGCTACTTGAAAATGTCAGATAGCCATTTTTCCCATTTTGAAATTATGCACACCTTTGCCATGTGTTTCATCACCGATCTGTTTTCTACAAAGGTTAGCGTTGTATTTGTAAGTAAAAAAGGTAGCAAAATATTAAATTACTATCAAAATCCATCGAACTGAGGTCCATATTTTTTTTCAAAGGGAAGGGGATTATGTTAAAACCTGGCATAATACATCACAAAATTATATATGAAAAAAATTGAAATAGATTCTTCTATGGCCTTCTTTTCTAGTGGCTTTCGTCGATGCAGAACAGAGTATTGTTGAACAGTGAACACCAAAACCAAAGTTCAATTCTTATGCTGAATTCAACGACCATCATAAAAACATTGGATATTAAGATCCAACATTTTGATAAAAAAAATATAATAGGCAAAGTACTATATTTCAACTTAACGTGTGAATAAGAAAGTGTAACAACTAATAAGGTCAAAATAAGAAATCTAAAATCTTGGTTCATGAAGCCACAACATATGGGATGTAACAAGTGCTAACATAAATCAAGCTAGAATTCCAACTAAATGTATATTGGAGACAAATAGAGGTATGATCCAAAAGGTAGAAACTATGAATACATATTAAAATATATAAAGTAACTAGAACGATACTCCACAGGGTACACGTAAGAGTTAGAGGCTTTGAAAAAAGGTTTTAAGGAAGGTGTCGAGTGCTCTGTTTACGGAGGCACCGGAGCCCTCCCGTGGGCACCAGCAGCCTGTTCGCTTGCTCGTAAACGATCGTAAATTTCCAGCCGGGAACATTGTTTTTCTCTCACACCAAACCAGCCAGCAGTAAATAATCCACGATACGATACGGCCTCCCGAACAGGTTGCAGAGTGATGCCGCTAGAGGGTTGGAATAGTGCCAGGATCTCGATCGATCCGATCATCTTGAGTGCACCTGTGTCCTCCGGTGGTGCACCGAAGTTGTCCTCTGGAGCTTCGTTGCATGAGCTGTTTGTCAAGGTATTTTTCAAGCGAGCACCTTATCTCCTAGTGACACTGGAGAGATGGGCACCGGAGATTAGGTATTTTGGCGACCGACGGCTCGAGAGTTTTCAAAAGGGTCAGCGGAAGCTTCCGATGTTAGGCACCGGAGAGTTCCGACGTCCGAAAATCGGCACTGAGTAGTTAGGAGGTTAAAAATCTTTTATTTATTTGGTGGGGAGTGAGAGTTGTGGTGCGAAGGAGAACGAAAATCGACACTGAGTAGTTAGGAGGTTCCCTTGCCTCAGTCCGTCCCGCTCCCGCGTACGCCCGTGTCGCCGCGCTTCACCTGGCTGCCGCCGGCGAGTTCCCCACCCCCTCTGCATCCGCCCTCGCTGCCTCACCCTTCCGCCATGTCTGCCCTTAGGCCGGCCGCGCGAGGACCCATGACTGGCATCGATAAGGGTGGCTCGAGAGTTCGCCGGTATGCTTAGTGGCGATGTCGCTTGCTCGGATCGGTGTCGAGATGCAGCGAGATGGTCTCGACATGACCTTGCGGTTCCAAAGGAAGAAACGGGAAGGCGAATGGTGATGGGTGCACGTAGATCGACGAGCACGAGCCGGGGTCGGCAATGGCAGCGGCGGCTATTGGAGGCGCTAGAGAGGGGGAGGGAGCACGGGGAGGGTGTGGCAGCTGTGGCGCGGTGAGAGGAGCTCGAGGGTGGCTTTTATAGGGCGGAGAGGAGGAGGAACGGGCGGTGGTGGAGCTTGCTTGCATGCCGGCCATGGCGGCCTTGACTCGACGCGCGCGGCCATGGCGGAACTCGCCGGGAAGTCTCTGGCCGCGTGGCCCATCCACCTCCATAAATGCGGCGCCCGCGCTGCCGCGCTTACCCTATCCTTCCGCAGACGTGCTCGTGTGGGGAGCCATGTCCGGTTGCCGGCGTTGAAGATGCGGGCGAACAATGAAGGAGATGAACTCAGGGAATGGACTACTTATTAGTCAGTGAATGCACTGAGCTAATCACTAGTCAGCTAATCAATATTCAGCTAATCACTAGTTCTAGCTAATCATAGGTTCTAGTTCATCTAAATAGGGCCTAAATCTTTATTTCCATCCACCAACCAAACACAAAATGTGAATAAAAAGTCAACTTTTGAGCTTAATTCTTTGGGCCATGCTAGCACCCGGACATCCTGACGCCCCGCACCCGCATGCTACTGCACCTGCACCTGCCCGCGTGCTTCGTACCTCATGCCTGCAGTTGCTGCTGGGCCTGCATGTTGCTGCTGCTACGCTTGCTGGCTTGCCGGTTGCCACACCTCAAGCGTGCTGCTGTTGTTGTGCCTGCCCGCGTGCTTCACGCCCTATGCCTGCCCACGTGCTTCACGCCCTGTGCCGGCTGCTGCTGGGTCCACGAGTGCTTTTGCTGTACCTGCACGGGAGAGCATGTGCATGGGCCTGCCCCACTGCATGAGATAGAGAGGGTGGGAGCACAACGCGCGTACCCGTGTTGACCTCAGCTGCATGCTCCACCGTGGAGGACCAAGCCTGATGGTGCAGGGGCGCCTAATTCTGCGTCCGTTGGGTGCTGACTCGCTTTGGCGCTCTGCATGCGCGCATGCAGTTTGACCAGGAAGTGCTCGGCCATTTAGGCACTGACCGCCCGTTGCATTCACGTCTGACTATTCGAGATGTCTCGCATGACAGAGATAGGCAGGGCTATATGGGTGCGTGCAGCGCGCGCGTGTCCGCGAGTCAAAGCGTGTGGGGAACAGCACCTGCTGCAACGTACTGAAAACTAGGTGAAACAATTGAAAAATATGTTTGCAACAAATATGTATAACCACTGCAACATATGCAACATCCAGATAAAACGCTTGCAGCATACGTCTAAAATAGGTGAAACATTTAGAACATACAATTGTAACATACGTGTATGTATAGCCATTGCAACATATGCAACATCCAGATGAAAACATGCAATATCCAGATGAAACAACTAAAATATTTGGAAAACACACGTGCAACGTACATGTATAGCCACTACAACATATGCAACATCCAGATGAAACACTTGCAACATACATTTGAAACAGCTGAAATATACACTTGCAACACACGTGTATAGACATTGCAACATACGCAACACCAGATCTACTTTTGCAACATCCAGATAAAACATATGCAACATACATCTGTAACACGTGAAACTTATGGTCGCAACATGTGCTCATCTACTTGGTGCCGCTCAATGAAGGTTGACGCGGTCGTTGGGGAGCGCAGCGTGAGGCGCGAGCGACGCGCGGCGCGAAGCACGAGGCGTGGACGGCGCGCGGCGCGAGGTATGGGCGGTGTGCGCGGCACGAGCCCGTTCCGCGAGTGAGGCGTAGGGGCGCGTGGCGCGATGCGCAGGGGCACGCAACACGAGGCGGTTCCGTCGCGATGGAAGCGTCCAGATTTTTTTAATAATGGGCCGGTCAAGGCCCAGCGAGACGCGCGTCTTTTCATCTACCCCACTGTCACTTTTTTCTTTGAGAACTGTTCAGGTACTTCCTCCTAAAAATTAGCACAAATCTTAAAGCAAGCTGTAATTTTTTTTTGAGAAACTAAAGCAAGCTGTAATTGATTAACCAAATGTTAATTACTTTCCAGTTGGGCCCCGTATGGGCTGACGCCTCCTATGCCCAGCCCATACCCAATCACGTTCTCCTCCAACCTCTCCATCTCCTTTCTTCGCGAAGCGTTTATTTCCACGCGTAAAGCACCAACCGGCGGCGGTTGACGATGGGGCGGATCCTCGACGACTGCAGGGTATCAAGCCATCAACAACATCTCCTAGTACATGTCCCCCTCCCGTCGGCATGGCTCTGCAAGTGCTCTAGTACCCTGCCGTTCCGCCGTCTGGTCCCTCGTAGAGCTTGATGCCGCCGGACGTTTTTTTACAAAGAGCCTGTTAGATCTAATATATGGGCCTGGCCCATATAATATAATCAAACAAATCCTAGAGCCATAGTAAGTAGTTACGGTGTACAATAGTAATCCTGAATTGGATTTTAACTTTTGTTGAGTCAACTTAAATAGGTAAACCACGTGTGCACCTATTGAGAAGTTGAGAGAGAATGAAGGGTGTGCCACGCGCACGCGCCCCCAGCCGAGCTGAGGCGTGGTGAGCGTGTGTGCATCACGACATGTCCGCGGATATTTTTGCCACTCACTCGGGATGGTCAAGAGCTCACGGATCACTACGGTGAGGAACGGTCTTCTGGACTCGCGGATTTGTAAATTGAGGAACAGTCGTGTGGAGTTGCGGGCGCCTCTCTCACTACGACTCAACACACCATCACCCTAACCCTCCTCTGTCGAGCCTCCTCAAAGCTTCCCCGTCCCAAACTCTGCGCGCACAGAAAGCTGGGAGAGCAGGCCTCCGAAACCACGTCCATGCGACACGTGCTCGGGTGTGTGCGGGCGATTAGGTTTTTGCGGAGCGCTGGCGTGCTTGTCTCCGAATCGCCGTCCTCTGCCTCGTGCAAGCCCTCGCCGCCGGATCGTCTACCTCCGAGATCGCCGGATCGTCTTCTTTCTGGTGCTCGTTCGAGTCGAGGAGCTACACTGCGAACATCTCCCTGCATCGTCTATGGTCCACGACATCGAGCAACGCACTATGACAACTAGTGTGAATGGAGCCACCAATGCCTTGAACATGGGTCCCTCCGCTGCATATAAATCCTTATCTAAACTCATGATGATTAATATTATTTATTCCAATGATCAGTATGTTCACTGCCACTAGTAGTTTACACGTGTATATATTTATTGTCATAAATTTACTACTATTTTTCTGAATTAAATATAACAAGAAATTGCCTAAATTCTTAACATAGCCATTGCTGCGTTGGGGGTCAACCGTGACAACGCACGGCAGGGCACCCCACCACAGCAATGATCGCATGTTCATGGGTCGAATTCTATATGGCCGGCAAAGCAGCAATCGAATGAGAATCTTTAGCACGATCCACCGCTGTGCTTGTGCACATGCACGTTTCTTTTGATTTTTGAGTTGGCGAGGGGCACACACCCGGTTGTTGGTTGTGCTCTCTGCAGCCCCATCCCTTTAACAATAAGGATTCGAAGTCAAAAGCGCCAACAGCAAACTTATGAAGATGTATATATGCGCATGAATGCGGCATCCTCTAATCCGGCCGGGCACCAGCTCCAGCACCAACTTACTCGATCTAATCAAGGAGACATACATGGAGGAGTCCCATGACATCGTCATCGTAGGTGGTGGCATCTGCGGCCTCGCCACCGCTCTTGCACTCCACCGGTAACATCACATCCATGGCTGGCTGCTTTAGTTTCCTCGGCTTGATATGGCAGCATTTCAGCCCCTTCGTCTCAAATTCCCCATTTATTCTTCCTCTTTAGTACTCCGTATTAGAGTAAGCATTTCAGTTTATGTCTACTTTCACAATATCGTGGTGTATGTCTCTACCTGCAAATGGTAAAGCTTGAATGCATTCAAGTTGCGATTTCTGAAGTAGGAGTAGCTGCCATGCCAACAACAATGCAATCTGCTGCTGATTTGCATCCAGGAAAGGGATTGCGAGCCTTGTGTTGGAGAAGTGTCGGAGACTTTGAGAGTAGATGGCGGCTCCATCGGTGTCCATGTCAATGGATGGCGTGTTCTGGAGCAACTCGGGATTGCTGCAGAGCTCCGAGAGACTGCCAACCTTGTCACCGCGTAAGTTTCTACTTTCTAGCCATGCAAATTTTCCTCTGCGTGCTCTGAAATTAATCTATTCTTAGCATAGAATGCCAAATCTTCTCGCAACCAGCATTTACCATTGCCTTGATCCTGATAACTCCCGTCCGAAATACTCCATATTAGGATAACTTCATATGTTTGAGATTAGTAAGACTTCGAGAACTTCCATCAAACTGAAAAGTGGAATCGGGTAGTTAGGCCTTGTTTAGATCACCTCCAAATTCCAAGTTTTTTCACTCTCTTTTCATCACATCAATTTTTAGCCGCTTGCATGGAGTATTAAATGTAGATAAAAAAAATAACTAATTACACAGTTTAGTTAAAAATCACGAGATGAATCTTTTAAGCCTAGTTGATGCACGATTGGACAATATTTATCAAATAAGACGAAAGTGGTACTATTCATCACGTTCAAAAAAAAATAAACTTTCAATCTAAACAAGGCCGTAGTAGAATTAGGAACGAGATGTTCATTCAGGAAGAGAAGACTGACCTTTCGTACCAAATGCCATCAGATTCAGAATCAGTAGAGCTTGCTTTGTGACTGTCATTTGTTTCCAGGTTTCACGACGTGTGGCAGGAAGAAGAGAAGAGCACCCTGACACCCGTCAGGTAGTAACTAGCTAACCGTCACAAAGAGCCCTTGCACTACTGGAAATAGAGACTTTGCCGAGCGTAAAATTCTTTGTCGAGTGTTAAAAATCGAGCACCCGGTAAAGACCTTCTTTGCCGAGAGCTGCACTCGGCAAAGAATTTTTTGTTAAGTGCCAGGTACTCAGCAAAAAAATGCACTCGGCAAAGGACTTCTTCGCCGAGTGCCAGACTCTCGGCAAAAGCGCGGCACTCAGCATAGGCTGACCTGCGTAACGGTGTTCGGCCACGTCCTTCTTTGTCGAGTGACTACTGTTAGGCACTCGGCAAAGATTTAATATTTTTTTAAAAAAAAATCTTTGCCGAGTGTCCCAGATCTGGCACTCGGTAAAGATATAATTTTTTTTAAAAAATTTCTTTGCCGAGTGTCCCAGATCTGACACTCGGCAATTTTTTTTGAAAAATACTTTGTTGAGTGCCCCTGGCACGGCACTCGACCAATATTTTTTTTAAATGTCTTTTTTTTGAAAAATACTTTGCCGAGTGCCCCTGACACGACACCCAGGCACGACACTCGGTAAAGATTTAAATTTTTTTAAAAAAATGTCTTTGCCGAGTGCCCCCTGTGAAGGCACTCGGCAAAGAGGAAATTTTTAAAAAAATCCAAACCCTCTTTGCCGAGTGCCTTATCCGTGGCACTCGGCAAAGACCCCTTTTGCCGAGTGCCATGCCCCGGCACTCGGCAATTTTTTATTGTTGTTTTTTGCCTCCAAATTTTTTGTGCAACCCTTTTAAAGCAACAGGAACTTCTAGTTAGAATTTGGGGGGTTTTATGGTTTTTTGATATATTTAGTTACTTTATTTCATTTACTTGAATTTTTTCGAAAAATATAATTTTGAACTGTACGTGGTACGAATAATGGAATTTAATGATTCAAAAAATGATAGTCATGTTACTGAGTGTAGTGTGAGGCCGTATCCAGGAACGAACCCAAATTTTCGGACATCTTGTTCACGAAACATGACCGCGAACTTGCGTGCGAAGTGTTTTTAAATTCTATAAAAAGCAAACGAAGTCCGAAAATCATGAAACTTGTTGAGATGTCATGATATCATATGTGGAGGCTATGATAAAAATTTTAGAAGATTTCATACACGTTGTCACGTACGATGCTTACAAACCAGGACATCTCTACGTTGTTATTTTTTGAATCATTAAGTTCCATTATTCGTACCACGTGCAGCTCAAAATTATATTTTTAAAAAAAAAATCAAGTAAATGAAATAAAGTAACTAAATATATCAAAAAGTCATAAAAATTCTCAAATTCTAACTAGGAGTTCCTGGTGCTTTAAAAGAGCTGCACAAAAAATTTGAAGGCCAAAAATAAAAATAAAACTTTGCCGAGTGCCGGGGCATGACACTCGACAAAAGAGGTCTTTGCTGAGTGCCACGGATAAGGCACTCGGCAAAGAGGGTTTGGATTTTTTTTAAAATTTCCTTTTTACCGAGTGCCTTCACAGGGTACTCGGCAAAGACATTTTTTTTAAAAAAATAATAAATCTTTGCCGAGTGCCGTGCCAGGGGCACTCGGCAAAGTATTTTTTTAAAAAAGACATTTTTAAAAAAAAAATCTTTGCCGAGTGTCGTGCCAGGGGCACTCGGCAAAGTATTTTTCAAAAAAAAATTTGCCGAGTGCCAGATCTGGGACACTCGGCAAAGAATTTTTTTAAAAAAAATTAAATCTTTGCCGAGTGCCAAATTTGGGACACTCGGCAAAGAGTTTTTTTTAAAAAAAATTAAATATATTGCCGAGTGCCTCCCTGATCTGGCACTCGGCAAAGAGCGGTTCTAGGACTTAAGCAAATTCGGCCGGCCGGGCAGTCAAACAGACAGCCAGCCAGCCCTCGCGCCCACGCCCGCGCCGCGCGCTGCCACCGCCCGCGCGCCCGCGCCCTGCCCCCGGCCACCCCAGGCCAGCCCTGCCCCCGGCCGCGCCCGTGCCCGACCCCGTTCCCGACTCCGACGACCCCGACTCCGACCCCGACGCCGCCCGCCCCTACCCCCGGAGTCCGTCAGGTATGCCTTCTCTCTTTTTATTGTCGTGGTAGTGATAGTTGTAGTAGTATTAGTTGTACTAGTAGTGCTAGTGGTAGTAGTAGTATTAGAAGTAGTGGTAGTAGTAGTACAACTAGTGGTAGTAGTAGTAGTTGAATTAGTGGTAGTAGTAGTAGAAGTAGTGGTAGTAGTAGTGAAACTAGTGGTAGTCGTTGTAGCAATAGTGATGGTAGTAGTAGTAGAACTAGTGGTAATAGTAGTAGCAATAGTGGAAGTAGTAGTAGAAGTAGTGGTACTACTTGGATATATTCTTCTGTATGGATTGATATCCAAATTACATGGCTTCTCTTGAGACATATGTGCTTGTCAGCCATCGTGCCGCTGTTTTTTGCAGGTTTTGGAAACCTCACCGTGCAGGGGAGGTTCTGTCGAATTTTTTTTAAATGACAGTATTTTGTTCCATTTTTGTAGAAAAGAGCCCGTCGGAGCCAAGTCGGAGTTCCCGTCGCCGTGCCGGTCTGCCTGCACCGCGCCGCCTCGCCATTGCATCGACCCGCCACGGCCCCGCTAGCCTGACTCCGCCGCCACCCTAGGTATAACCCCTCTTTCCGTATCATGATCGTAGATCACGTAACCTAGTTAGGCGTCTCCCGTTCGAAAGAGATACGGTTGGAGGTATGCAGATCTTTACATATTTATGACCGTATCTGTTTCAGATTGTCCACGTTTTTTGGACAGCCCGCGGATGCGTAGATGGGTTGTTTCCATGGTTTGCTCCAGTCCGAGACAGAGTTTCGGCATCACCTCCCTGTTGTTCTCCAGATACGCACTCTTCTTTGGCAGGACGTGTATCTGGAGAACAACGGGAAGGTACTGTCGAAATTCTATCTCGGATAGGAGTAGAGCATGGAAACTAACCCCATATACGCATCCGCGGGTGGGATTAGGACCTATTCTCACCTATTAGATAGTAGGAACACCATGTAGATGCAATTGATGGTTACATTACTCGCTGATACATATGTTAGAGGATGGATGACCGTTAGTGGATGTACACGGGCTGGAGAAGTCTGAGTGATTACACCACATAATGGATGAACAAGACCGATGCTTTCTTGAACAGTGCATTTGGCAAGGCTGCTAAAGGACATTGCCTAGTTTTGTGTCCCTGCAGTAAATGTGGAAACAGGAGGAGGGTAAACAAGGTGGAAATGGGTAAACATCTTGTGAAGAATGGATTTACGCCAGACTACACCCGGTGGGTCCACCATGGTGAAGCCCATCGTATGAGAGAGGAGGTGGTGAGACCACGGGTGGAGGCTTTTGATGCTGATGCCAGGGTACCAAACATGTTAGATGACTTTCACCAAGGATAGTTCGATAAGGGACGTGAGAAGGAGGAGATGGAGGCAGCCGCACAGGCGTTCTACGACATGATGGACTCGGCACAGAAACCCCTTCACGATCGGTCAACGGTGTCTCAACTAAATGCCATTGGACGCTTAATGGGGTTGAAGTTCGAGTTAAACTTGAGTCGACCTGGCTTCGATAAGATGTTGGCCGTGATTGGCACCCTACTTTCGGAGGGCCACATTCTGCCAAAGAGCATGTACGAGTCACAGAAACTCCTTCGAGCACTTAAGATGCCGTATGAGCAGATACATGCTTGTCCGAAGGGGTGCGTCCTATTTAGAAAAGAACATGAGCATGCAAAGTTCTGTCCAAAGTGTAAATCCTCCAGGTACCTAGAGGTAGACTCTGATGATGGCCAGAAGAGGCAACTTACGATCCCCGTGAAAATCCTACGGTACCTTCTGTTCCTACCGAGGATCCAATGGCTATACATGACCGAGGAATCCGCGAAACAGATGGCATGGCACAAAAATGACAAACGGTACAATCCTGACAAGATGGTACATCCATCCGATGGTGAAGCTTGGATCTGCTTTAATGACAAACATCGTGACAAAGCAGATGAGGCTCATAATGTACATGTCGCGCTGGCAACAGATGGGTTCAATCCTTATGAAATGATGGCTGCCCCATACACATGTTGGCCCGTCTTCGTTATCCCCCTTAATCTCCTCCCGGTGTCTCCTTTCAACGACATAACGTATTCTTGTCGTTGATAACTCCTGGACACCCAGGGAGTAATATGGGTGTGTTCATGGAGCCCGTGTTTGATGAATTGGTCCGTGCTTGGGATGAAGGGGTATGGACATATGATCGAGCTACAAAGACAACCTTCAAAATGCACGTTTGGTACCACTACTCCCTGCATGACTTCCTGGCGTATGGGATATTCTGCGCCTGGTGTGTTCACGGGAAGTT